CTACCTGCACATTTGTGGTAAACACCCTACTAAATCATACATAGCAGTTTTTATATGCTTTGCCACTAAGGCAGTCCATTTGGAATGTGTCTCAGATTTGTCTTGTGATGCATTCATAGTTCTCTGAAGCGTTTAATTGGAAGAAGAGGAGTTCCATCGAAAATATATTGCGATAACGCTACTAATTTTGTTGGAGCAAACAACAAGTTAAAGTAATTCAGAGAATATTTTCAACAGCCTTCAACAATAAATGCCGTTAAGCAGTATTGCGCTTCAAGATTTTTAGAACTTTCGTTTATACCACCTCGCGCTCCACACTTCGGTGATTTATGGGAGGCGGCGGTGAAATCTGCCAAATCCCATTTGTACCGTACACTCTCATCATCACGTTTAACATTTGAAGAACTTACAACAGCATTAATTGAAATAGAAGCAGTAATGAATTCAAGGCCCTTAACACCATTATCAACTGATCCAAACGACTTAAAAGTCATTACACCTGGACACTTTCTAATAGGCTGTCATTTACAACATATACCAGAATACGTTAATACCACATCCGAAATATCCAATTTAAAACGTTGGCAAAGAATTGCTGCAGTAAAAACTCACTTTTGGCACAGATGGCATACTGAATATTTATCACGTTTACAAAATAGCTACAAGTGGAAGACGCCTTCGTACAATCTAAAAGTGGGTGATATGGTTTTAGTACATGAAGATAATCTACCTCCGATGAAATGGGCCACAGGCAGAATAATTAAGGTATTTGAAGGCACTGACGGTTGCATAAGAGTAGCTGAAATAAAAACACCTTTAGGATGTTTTCGAAGACCAATAGCCAAGTTAGCCTTACTTCCTATCAATTAAAACTGGGAGTTTTAATGGGCCCCGGCATGTTCGGTCCTTTATTTATATTACATATGCTGTACCTTTTTATCTTCTTTTTTCATTTATTTTAATGTTTCTCAGAGAGTCAAAATTAACTTCAAATTGATACATATTATATTGTTTTTGTGTTTTGGAAGATAACCGTTTATATTCTTTTGTCTTACTTTATGCCCAATGTAACAATATTATATTTTTTAGTCTACAACGAGATTTGATACAAATAAAACTTGTTATACTACCTTTTGTCTTTTATTTAAAACAAATAAATCTACGGGTCGGTCAAATCAGGCTGTCCTTAAACAACAATTAATATACAATCAGCTCGTCGTCCCGGAATTATCTTCACGTATATCACAAAATCCAAAAAATTGAGTTAGGGTAATTTTTTGGGGTAAAATTTGAAGATCTATCGATCTAATCAATCCACAGGTTTCTATCTCTTGTGGTTTACGAGTTATTCAGTAGCTATTTTATTGTATATCCACTTTTCTTAAAAATTTAATGTGTTATCTTACCGTATATGCCATTTTTGTGGATATACAGCAAAAATTGTATGAAATTATTGAAATAAAAAAAGTTGTGTTATCTTCACGCATGTGTAAAAGATAAAAATACTGGAAATAGTCTACATATAACACCGTCCGACACTCAAAATTAGACACGAATTAGATGATATAAGTCTGAAACTAGAGATTAAATGATGCTAAACTGCTTTCACAGTTTTTTATTTCGTGATCCTGTTTCCTTGTACTTACCATACTTTGCAAAATTTGATGTCAAAATAACAAGAAGAGTTGGGAAATATTTTGAGCTATTTTTGTTTTATTCTGTCAGGATCAAAATATGTCAAAAATGCCTTCAAAATTTTTTTCTGAAAAAATAATTCTGAAAACCTAAATAGATATTAGAGGATAAAAATTTTAAAAGACATTTTTGACATCTTCTTATCCTGACAGTATAAAATAAAAATACTACAAAATATTTCCCAACTCTTCTTGTTCTTTTGACAACTTTGGCATTGTTTGAGTAGTGGAAGAATTTTTATTTTTTTTTTTTTTTTTGAAAAATTTACTTCATTAAAACTTTGAAGTCCTTTAAAAAAGACACTGGATTGTATTAAAATTATTTAAACAATAGCAATTACAAAATAATACAAATTTCGTATATAAACCCAGCAAAAATCTGGAAATGACTTGTACTTACTAAACAACTTTTCAACTTACCGTTTGCGTTACTTAGAAGAAAATTAAATTTGTATGTAAAAACCATTATTTGACGAACAATAAAATAGCTAAGCAGTGGTGCAGTGAGTAGAATATTTGACTAACAAACGGAAGACATTGGCTCGTATACTCGCTGGCTCTTTTTGTTATTAAAAACAAAACATCTTCCTCAACAAGTACTTCTTTAACTCCCTATTTGTAAGCGATGCGGTAAATACTTGCCTCCAATGACACCGCCTTGTTAATATATTGAGTTAAAATGTTAATGAAAAGAGGTTTTATTAGCTTTTTAACTCATTACTTTTCAATGTAAGTTTTTCTTGGGAAGTTAGCTAAACATCTGCGTTTGAGAGATGAACTTAAAAATGATGCATATTGTATTAGAATAAATAAACATAAACAAAATGTGTGTATATTAACTAAACTAATAAATACCAATTTTTGTTACTGCACGAATAACGGATATACGTCAAGATAATTTGAGAGAAAAAACATAATGCAGTTTTTATCAGTACATTTTCACGTATATGCCATAAATTGAAAAAATAGTTCTCAAAAAGTGGTTTATACAACAAATTTGGAAAATTCTTCTTGAGCTAAAAATTACCATATCTTGAAAAATTTACTCCATGACTTTCGATATTTTTACAGTAATCGATGAAGAAAAATCATATATATATAGGAAATATATTTCTATACCCTATGCAGGTGCGGGAGTTGTAGGCCTCCAATGTTATGATATATAATTGAACATGTCTCGGCTACTAATTAATATATATGGTCAACATCGGTATCAATAGAAAGGTCTCAGAAATATCTTTCCACCGATATACAATATTTCATATATCTTTAACGTATTGAGAGCAAGAGTCCAATTTTATGTTTTCTCGTATTGTTTTTTTACATAAGCATTGTGATCTCAAAAATATATCGATATAATATCACATAAAATTTTGTAGACAAAATTTTGGGCTTTCATGTGATATACATGTATATGATTGAGACCCTATCTCATCTCAATCGCGCGTTTTTAATTATTATTATTGAAAATTTTAAAGTTACTTGCACTTGTAAAATAAAATGTAGTCATGCATATATATATATGTATATATACATATATCGAACATATCGGATAACTAGTAATCGAGCCATATAAATTACATTTAATAAAAATCAATGATTTTAAAAATATAAATTTTTAGACATCCACAACGACTGCATTTAATAAGATAGGGCTCTTAAACATATATCATATGAAAGCCTAAACTATTGTCTACAATATTTTATATGAAGTACCGTTATGCTATGTTTCCACTGAGGCGTTTTGAGTAAATCTTGTTGATTTGTCCAAAACTAGTTGAAATCATGTAGATTTCCCATACATTTTTGACAAACCCAAATCTACTTAATCCACTAGATTTGATTTAAAACATGTCGAAAATGTATTTTATCGAACAAGATTTGCTTATGCAACACTGCGTTGTGTCTAGGATAAGCAAATGCGACCATAGGCTATCCCTTCAAATGAATGTTTTCATCGAAAAAGTGTCATGTTACTTCAAAATAAAAAAGAACAAATAATAATTTTAAAATTGTTGGCATTTAATAAATAAATTTATACAATTAAAACAGTAAGTTTGTATTTTTAATGTTTAAATTTAAAAAAAAATCATTTTATTTTCGTTATATGACAGGATTTGTTCGAAAATTCGAATCTCAAAAACGAGTAAGCTCAGTGGAAACACCTCGAAGAGGTTTACGCAAATCTGGTAGATTTGAAGCCAATGGAAACATAGCATTATATCGATATATTTTTGAGATAACGGTGCTTTTGTAAAAAGACAATATTAGAAAACATAAAATTTCACCCTGGCTCTCAATGGGTTAATTATTTATGTGATGTTATATATCAATCAAATGATATTTCAATGACCTTATTATTGATACCCATATCGAGCATATATATAAATAATTAATCGACACATCCAAATCTAGTTAATCTACTAGATTTGATTTAAAACATGTCGAAAATGTATTTTTTCGAACAAGATTTGCTTATGCAACACTGCGATGTGTCTAGGATAAGCAAATACTTCTTTGCGCTATCCATTCAAATTGAATGTTTTCATCGAAAAAGTGACAATTTATTTCGAAGTTTAAATAAAAGCAAATTATAATTTTAAATTAGTGGCGTTTAATAAATAAATTTATTCGTTTACAACTGTAATTTTTTATTTTTAATATGTAATTTTAAATAAAATTAACTTTATTGTGGATATGAAAAAATAAAGTGACAGAATTTGTTCGAAAATTCGAATATCAAAAATGAGTAAGCTCAGTGGAAACACCTTGAAGGGGTTTACGCAAATCTAGCAGATTTCAAGCCAGTGGAAACATACCATAATATGTGATTCTCAATAGAATTACTGAAAAAGAAAATGACGAACTCAAACCCGAATAAGTAGGATGATTATCCTTGTATAATTAACAAAATCATATTCATAAAATTTTCTTAATATTCTTAAAATTTATCAAAATGGTATACTTGATGTTGTTCTCTGATATTTTCTTGTGGTTGCCTTTTTATTTAAAAATTCAAAAATAATTATTATTTTCGGTCCCTGCTTTTCTTTAATCAGAATAAAATTAAATTCGATTTACTTTTTACTAGATTTGTGTACTCGGTTGTAAAACGAGAAAAATTATGAGAACTCGTTTTAAAACGATAAATTTACTCGGATTCGGCCCTAAAATTTAAAGTCTTGTGAATAAAAATGGATCAGCATTATTGTTTAACATATTAAAACAAAGAAAAATTTTACGTCTAAAGGTGATTTCTTAAAATCTAAAAACGTATGTATATTTCCGTGTATTTTGTTTTGGCAGGTCACATAAGTTAAGATGGAAACAACTAGGAAATAATTTAATTTTGCCTCTAAATTTCAATCCCTTTCAAAGGCCAAGGCGACAGGATTGGGAAGGAGAATTTGATGAAACTGGAATGTTTTATTTTTCAACTAAACAATTAGTAAGCAAAAATAGTTTACAAGACAATAGGTAGGTACATACAAACGCAGATTTTTTTATTTTTATTATCTTTGAATGTGTGTACTCTTTTTTAGGTGTGCAATAGTAGAAGTCGATGCCCAAGATGCAATAGAGATTGATAATTTGAATGATTTAAAAATGGCGCAATGTATGCTTGAAGTGACTAAATAAAAAAATAAATAATATGTATATCAACTGCGGTGATCGTGTTACTTCTTACAATTGAATAATTTAAATAGCTCAGCAGTATTGGAATGACTTTGAGCACAAAAATTATTTTTATGCACTGAAATCTTTAAAAAAATAAACTTTATAATTGTTGTTTTACTTGTGATGTACATATGTATATGTATTTACTGATTTTATATTAATTTTTTGGATTTTTCTTGTAAATCGTATATTTTTCCACAGTTATAAAAGTCAATTTGTGTTTATTTGTTTGTGGCTGTGTTTGAAGTTTATAGACACCTAGACGACTGGACCAATTTTATTAAAATTTTTTCCATACATAAGAAGTATGGAACAAAGCTTTAAAAGAATTCATTCCCTATTTTTTTTTAATTGAATCACATTTTAATGAATTGCCAAATCCTTAAATTTCCTGAGATTTAATTCATATAAGTGTAGTTAAAATAAATCGTGAAGAATTAATTAAGAATTAAATTGAATTTAAAAATGTTTCAATCATTTTTATTGATTTTTAAATTCCCTCTAAATCAACGGTTTTGATAGATTTATTGGAAAAATAATTATTTATAATTATATTTGTATTTTCATTAATTCAAGCAATTAATCGCCAAAATTTTATCGGTTAACCAATCGACGGTTAACATCAATACATTAAAACATATGCATGTACATAAATACGCATGCTTCAATACATACTTACATCAAAATATGCATCAATACATACTTTCATTAACACATACATACATCGACACATTCATTCCTTCCATTATTCATTTATAATACAAATAATATGAATAACACAAATAAGTACAGTGCAAATCACAAATAATTTCATTTATCTTCTCTTTTGTATTTTACATTAAAACATATACGTTTTAAACACTCTCCTTCTGGCCATCGTTGCTCTAAAGCGACATGGCCACACATCAAATTTGTTGACTCAAACGGTAAGTTTTTTGATTGTTAGGTTAGGTTAGGTTGATAGGAGGATGTATACTACATCAAATCCGAAGAAATACACCTAGGCCACCATCGGGCCTGTTGTGCGCTCCAATTCAAGAAAAAAAAAAAAAAAAAAATTGTTCACAGAAACTCTGTTTCCTGGACGTAATTCCTAAAAATCTTCCAATCGGTGTTGGTTAAGAATGTTATTTCCGGAATAACATCACTTCCAAGATACTTGGATCTAACTTCGACGAATGCCTGACAATGCCAAAGAAAGTGCTCCAGAGTTTCACTGTCCTCTCCACATGCTCTACATTCGTCTGAATCCGCACGTCCAATTTTGTATAGATGTGCACGTAATCCTGTGTGTCCACTCAGAATACGTACCATCATACTAACTTCAGACTTGCTCATTTTGAGGAGATTTCTCGTCTTGCTCTCATCAGGGTCACCCCATTGAATCTTTGTGGTTCTACCCACCGATTCATTATTCCAAGAGGCCTTATGGGATTCTCTCAATCATATTTTTAATTCAGCTTTTGTTGCGTCGAATGGTTTTGCGTTTGTTAGGTTAACTACATCGAGCTCCCTTCCCTTTAAAGCTATTACATTCGCCCTTTCGTTGCCGACTACTCCCGAGTGGCCTGGTACCCATATGATGTAAACCTTACCTCTGGGAGAGTATTCAGTTAAAGCTTTTTTACAATCCAATACGGTCTTAGATATAATTTTATCACCTGATATCGCCCTAATTGCCTTCTGGCTGTCGGTAAATATATTAAGCCCTGTGGGCGCCATATTTATTCTAATCCAATTTACACATTCCGTTATTGCTCGTACTTCTGCCTGGAAGCTTGTGTTATGATTAGGTAAACGGTGGTATATTTCTGTTTCTGGGTCTTCAATATGGAACCCCAGGCCCACTTTGTCCCCTAATTTAGAGCCATCCGTGTAGCAACGGATTCCTACTGGTATTTGCTCTAATGTTCCGCTTGACCTAGACATTCTATCTGGGATCAGGGTTTTAAAGTTTCCGACATATTCTGTGTCTGGTATACGATCAGGCACGTCCGATGATTGTGTATAACCTTCCAATTTGTCCAGTATACATTGATGACGTGTCCTATAACCGTTTCTGACCAGTTCGCCTAAAGTAGAGAGCCGTTCGGCTGTAAGCGCCGCCTCATATCTTATATACATATGTTTCAATGGGTGGAATATCTAGCAACGTTTCCAGAGCCTTGGTTGAAGTAGTACACATGTCATCACTTATACCCAAGCAGCATGTACGCTGAACTTCCTGTAGTAGTTTGATATTACACTTTTTGTTCAAAGCAGTCTACCAGATTATTGAAGCATAAGCTAGAATTGGTCTAATTACACTTTTATAAAGCCAATTTGTCATAGTAGGACTAAGACCCTATTTCATGCCTATGGTTCTCCTACATATCGCCCAGCACCGATGTGCCTTGTTGATCCTATCCTCTATGTGGTGTCTCCATTTTAATTTCCGGTCAAGTATTACACCTAAGTACTTAACTTTGTCTGTCACCGGTATCTTCTTGCACAGGAAAAAAGGTTCAGTATATCGTCACCTAAAACGCAAACGGCCCTATCTAACATTTTTAAAATTTTACAGGAGAAGCAAAAAACTATTTTAATTGAAAAGTTTGTCTCTATCAAGGGGATTTATTTGTAGTAAATAAACAAATTGTTTAATAGTGAAACCTATCATTTGTTATCATAGTTGACAATGGCGTATATAAAAATGGATAAATTGGACTTTTTACCTTTAATATTTAAATATTTTTGTAGATAGGTCCTTTTGTTTTTTGTCAATAAAATCGATAATTATGGTTGGAGGAGTCCAATTTTTGGAGTGGACATTTGTTTTGATGTAATACATTAGAATCACCAATAAAATCGATTTTGAATTTTTGGTTAGTTAGGACCGTTTGCGTTTCAGGTGACGATATGTAGAAATTTTTGTCTTTCTTGTGAAAAGACAGATTTCCGTCTTCGCCGGGTTAACATTGAGGCCTCTCGGTTGAGCCCAGCTCAAGGCCGTATTCAGAGCATCCTCAGCTCTTCTACACAAGTAATTTGGATCCTTTCCCTTTAAAAGTATTACGACATCGTCTGCATAGCAGACAGGTCTAAGTCCTTTCTCGGTTAGGGCCCTTAGGAGGCTATTAATCGTGGTAACCCAGAGTAAAGGTGACAAAATGCCACCCTGTGGTATACCGCGAAATACCTTTTTCTTGATAGTTATATCGTACATCTCGCAGCTTATCCATCTGTTCCTTAGCATGTAGTTGATCCAGTTACGGAGCACCCGGTCAACATAAAACTGGTCTAGGGATTGGATAAGGATATCAGTGTGCACGTTATTGAAAGCGCCTTCGATGTCAATGCATACCGCCAGTGTATACAGTTTGCTATCGAAAGATTCATCTATGTAGTGGACAACTTCGTTTAAAGCGGTTTCCACCGATCATCCCTTTACATAAGCATGCTGCTTAAATTTTAGGTCTTTGTCGGGTATACTGCTTTTAATCATACTATCGACTATCCGTTACAAGGTTTTAAGTAGGAAGGACGTAAGACTTATCGGTCGATAGGACTTAGATGTCGCATAGCTAGGTTTCCCTGGTTTGGGTCTTGCATCTTGCCATTTAACTGGGTATATGCCAATTTCAAGCATGCAGTGAATATCTGAGACACGTGTATGGAAACCAGACCCATCTCCATCTGTAAGAGTGCCGGGAAAATGCCATCCGGCCCTGCAGCTTTATAGGGAGCAAAGCTCTTGATTGCACTTTTAACCATGTCAGTTGTAATAACTATTTCCGTGTTACCCTCCCCTTCCTCCAATATCGGTTCATCTATGTTATTCGATATACCGGGTGGGAAATGAGAGTCCATTAGGAGTTTCATTGTCTCCTCCATATCCTCAAGCCTCCTGCCCGAGTCATCGATCATAGATTCCGGTTGGACATGAGTTTTTGATAAGAATTTTTTTATCTTCGATACGTCATTTATTCTATCTAACTGTTCACAGAAAAGTTTCCAGGAGTCTCGTTTGGCTTTTCGAACGATTTTCTTATATTCACCATGTTTATTACGATACTCATCCCAGTATACCGCGGTCTTTTTACGCCGTGCCCGGTTAAATAGTTTGCGAAGAGTCTTCCCAAGGTTCCGGATCTCCCCAGTTACCCAGGGTTTTTCCTGGGCAGATCTCCGCTCCGCAGAGGGCAGCTGTCCTCAAACGATTCAACCAGGGCACTTGTGAACGTTTCCACTTTGGCATCTATATCCTCTTTATTTCGACATTGAAAAGTGTCCTGACCTAAACGGTTCTTCAGTAAGGTCCCGAACATTGTCCAATTAGTTTTAGACTTATTCCGAAACTTTATCGGCTTTGGTGGTGGCCTTAGTATTTTGAATCTTATGTACCGATGATCAGAAAAGGAGTTAGTTAGTTAGTTTGAAAGGAGGATGTATATACATCAAATCCGAAGAAATACACCTAGGCCTCTATCGGGCCTGTTGTGTGCTCCTTAACCAGTGCCTCAGGTGGGAATCGAACCCACCACCTCCGGTCTACCAGTCTAGAACACTAACCACTAACCTACCGGAGGAGTGCTCGTCCGAAACTCTCCAATCCTGAATTTCGTTTATAAGCTCTTCTGAACATATAGTTATATCTAATACTTCTTCTCTGATTCTATTGACGAAGGTAGCTTTATTACCTAAGTTCAATGTTATCAAGTCTTTAGTATTAAGCAAATCCATGAGGGATTGTCCCCTGCGATTGGTGTTTGTACTACCCCAAGCTACTTGGTGCGAGTTGGCATCACAACCTATTACTATTTTCTTATTTTTTCTTTGTGCTTCTTCAACCAGTTTCATCAGATCCGACGTTGGTGGTAGTGTCGGATAATCGAAAGGCAGGTAAACAGATGCAAGGAATATGTTGCCACGACCTTGCATCCGATGTTGATAATCCTGTTGAGAGGAGAAAACATAAGTTCTTGTGACATAAGATACATGTTCTAGGGCGAGATCCTGTATCAGCGTAGAAATGTTGGAAATTTACGTGATTTAATCCAGAAACCTTGTTGCGAATCGTCCAAGGTTCCTGGATTAAAGCTATATGTATTTTACCTGTGTTAATTTTAGCCATCAGAGCGTTG